TACCAGCACTGTGAAATTAAATGATTCAATGAGTATTTCTTGAGCTTCAGCAATTTCAAGTACTATGCACAACCGTAAAAATTAAGTGATGAAAAAGATAATATTCCCAGCTTTCAAGGAGTCAAAGTATAGTATGGCAGACATAGGATAACCAATAATTTCCCTAAGATGATAAGAGACCAAAGACTGATGATATAACTCACCAGAGGTTAGAGATGGAGAATCAAGTCATTATATATTTCAAGTAGAACAGATGACTAGATAATGCATTGAAGGTTCAATAGGACCTAGCCTAGCACAGGGTCTCTCAACAGTGGCACCACTGACATCTAAACAGAATAATTATTTGTTGTGGAGCTGTCCTGTACATAGTAGGGAGTTAAACAGCATCTCTAACTTCTAACCACTGGATTCCACTCACCCAGTTGTGACAACCAAAAATGTCTTCAGACATTGCTAATGTCCCCTGGTTGGGGTGAGTGTGGGGATGGTGAACAAAACCATTCCTAGTTGAGAAGCATTGCTGTAGAGAAAACAAGCAAAGGTTGGAGATCCAGGAAGGGGACCTAACATACGCAGGATATAGGACATAAAATAACATAGACAATGATAATTCATCTAGGATTGATAAAAGCAAGCACATAACATTTATTTTACATTATTGTGTATGTCATTAGGTTGACTTCATTGCATGTAATATCTCATTTATCCTCACAACTTTATGATGTATTACAAACACACACACACACACACACACACCTTTCTATAAAGTGTAATTAGGCATAAGGTCACTCAGCAAACGGAGCCAATATTCAATCTCAGATCAAGTGGTTTCACATTATAAAACTCATGCAGTTCCCAGAATACTGTATAGCAAATGGCTTTACGTCTGGGGCAGAGTGTTTTTAGGGTAAATACAAGAGACTGAAAGACAAAGGCATTGACCACCTACAAAAGACCCTGATTTAAATATGAAAACAATGAAGAATTTCTGAATTATTTTTAGCAGAAGAGAGGTGCAACAGAAAGAATATGGTGATAAGCAAGCGAGAAGATGAGGGAAGTGATGGGTCAGGGTGTAGGGAGAAGAAGTAGGTAATCCTGCAATAGCCCAGGTGAGAAAGGTTGAGGCTCTAAGAGGGGGGCATAACAGTAGTGATGAACTGAGCTGCTCTTAAAATAATCTGGTGATGAATTGACCTTGTGACTGATGGGACGCAGCAGCTAACTTTGAGCTCAGATGCTTGTGCTGCACTTTTTTAAAGCTTCCCACCTGGTGATTTGTTGAATTATGGATCTCTGGGTCTCCATGGGAATGGCCTGTTCCTCTTTCTGTTCTTCCCCTTTCCTGTATCTTCAGAGTTTGTATCTAGTTATATTGAAGCCAAACCCTGCTTTCTGCTCTACTCACTCAGTAAGCATTCACGACACAGCTAGTGCTGACAAAAAATGCCCCACTCCACAACCATCTACTGTGGATCTTTTGACACAAAACACTCAACCGCATTATGTACATCACATGATTTCCTCATTACCGTTCCTCAAAACAGCTCTTTGCCCCCACTTCCCAAGACAAAGACACAAAGGCTCACACCACCCAGTTGACCCAGGGTTTGATTCTATAATTGTTTGTAGATTCACCAACCAAGTTGCCTGCCATGCCTTGTCCATTTGCAATTTACAAAAGAAAATACTGGGTTGTCAGAAAAGTCATGACACGTTTTCAAGCAAAAATACGTCATGACATTTCTGACAACCCAAAACAAGGAGTGTTTCCAGGCCAAGAAACTCAAATGTAAGGAACAAGTAGAAAAAAGAATTTAACATATGGACAAGTTTGGACTGCAGGTATGTAGTATACACATATTCTTGCTAAGACAATGGCAACAAAAGTGAAATGAGAGGATGGTGTTACTTACACAAGATTTTTTAAAGAAAAACCTTAGAACTGGCTTTAAAAGAATGAGAGAGGACTCAAATAGTGGAGAATTGAAGGTTAAATCTTGGTGGCCAAGGGGATATGATGCAAAAGTGGAGAAGTGACATGAAATGAGAATAGGGCTAAGATAATGAGCTGGTGGGTTCATTGCCTTGAGCTTATGAAGAATGAGGTATCCAGTCTTAAAAGGCTAACTGCCTACAGGGGGCATCTTAGAATCATACTCAGTATTATAAGCAAATAAAAGAAAACCCTTTTTAGATACTGAGTTACAAAATGTCTAATTTGAGCTCAGATGCTTGTGGTGCACTTTTTTAAAAAAAAAAAAAAAAAGATTTATTTATTTATTCAAGCACTGGGCACAGTCAGAAGCGCAGGAGGGTGAGAGAATTCACCAGAGCCAGAGCGGGGAACAGAACAGCAGGCTGACGAAATACACTGCTGAGGGGAGCAGTGGGCGTGGCAGGAGAGGTCTGCCGCGCCATGTGGGACCCTTGCTGGTCGCCAGGAATTGAACCGGCGCTGCAGAGCCTGCGGGCAGCTTTGCAGCCTAGCGCTCAACCGCTATGCCACCAAGGAAAGCCCAATTGTGGTGCACTTTTTTAAAGCTTCCCACCTACCCCTCTGGTTTATCTTGCTTCTATGGCTATTTATTAACACTCCAGTGTCCCTAATACATTTAGCTAACTTTTTCAGTAAAGAATCAAATTCTAGTTGCCCCTAGAACATGCCAGGTAAGCCTCTTTTCTCCTTTATCTCTTTCTCACCCTCTTTTTCTGAATTTCTTATTACTTCTTTCTTCAAAGTTCAATTTCCTTTCCTTTTCTGCAGCTACCAGTTCATTTTACTGTTTGCTTCTGCCTTCTATCCCTCTAAATGGTTTTTCCTCCTCTCGACTCTGCTGGGTTACCAGAAGAGAAATCACGTCCTGCCCAGAGAATCCCAGAAAATATTGCAGAATAATCAAAATGTAAATTGTGTTGGCTAGAATTATTTCTGGACAGTTTTCAATTTGGGATCCAGAGGCTGAGAACCTTCTTGTCTGTTTCCACAGTGGCCAGGGACATGGTTACTTGAGCCATTTTCAGAATCACCTGGAGGCCTTATTAAAACATAGTGATGTAGTTAAAACAGATGTGATGTAGTGTGTCTGGGGTAGGACTTGAGAATGCAAATTTCCAACAGGCTCCCAACTGATGGTAATCATGCTGGTGCAGGAGCCACACTTTGAGAGCCACTGGAATGGCAGCTCCAATGGCTATCAGGTCGTCAAGGCTCAGGTGTGCACATGCATAGCAGCAGTCGGGCAGGGGAGTCCTCAGAGGGAATGGGGTTTTGTTGCTTGTCACAACAAGCAAGGCACTGATAGGACCTCGGGCAACTCTGGGTAATGGGTCCAGTGAGGAGGGGAGCACAAATGGGGAACACTTTCTATTTATTGTAACCTTCTGAGAAACACTAAAGCCAACTCCAAGGCCTGTCATCCACCCTCCCCCTTGAGATCATGCATAGAAGCAGCAGAAGGGAATTCTCAGAATCTCTTTGATCTCTTCCCAGCTCCCCAAGTCCTCTGTCTGTTTATCTCCCTCTTCCCTGGCCTCCTCATCCCCCTTTTACCCCCTGTCCAGTGGATGAGTCACTCCTCTTCCTCCCCACCCACTGCCATCTGTTTTTCTAATGATGGCAGAAGATAGGCTGTTTTGTTGGCCCACACTGTAACAAAGCACACTCGATGCTAGCATTTTTCCTGGTGCACTCTCAGAATGCTATTTTATTAGTGTCATTTCCCCACCCAGTTTTCCCTTTGTCTCACACCCCACCCTCTCCCCCTTGTTGGCCTCATGTAGACCCAGTTTCCCAGAATTAGATCAAGAGAAACAGAAATACAGAAGAGCTGAGGGACTAACATGCATGTGGTTGGGTGTGTATGGGGGCTGGGGAGGTGTTAGACACCAATGGCAGTTAAATAGCTCTCTCTAGCACACAAGGAAAAGCCAGAATTACCCAAGAATTGCTGCTAAGTGGCTTAATTACTTCCAGTGTGAGAGTTGGATGACAAAACATATTGTGACTGAGACTGTTTGTATTTGAGAGAGTATTTGTATTTGTTACTGGTTATTCAGGGTGAGAGGACTTAAGAGTGTGTGTGTGTGTGTGTGTGTGTGTGTATGCACATACATCCATACATCCCCTCTCCCATGTCAGGAGTCCTTGGTCATCCTCCACCAGCAAGGCTCTATCACATTCTTGATTCTTCCTGGCAAAAACTCCTGTTCATCTAGATAAGGAATTCATGGCATCCCACACCCCACTTGCATCAAGACAGGATTCCTTGAGGTAGTAAAGGTCTAGGTTGCATGAATCAACAGGGGTCTGCAGGTCTACCTCAAAGGTCCAAAACTCAGATGCCCAGTGACCCCAGGCAGTTGACTTACTGAGGGAAACCCACTAGGTGAGATGTCAAGAAGGAGGGGAGGCTGTGCTGGGGTACAAAGCAGCTGCCCTGGAGCTGGTGCTGCCACTCAGGTGCAACTCACCTTCGCCATGTGTGCCAAATAACCTTGCTTCTGTAGAGAAATCCTTTGTACAAAGAGTCTTATATTTTATTTGGAGTATTATGTGTTTGGGTTTGTGTGATATTATTTACAGATATACAAATTATATGGGAAAATTCCAATTTTTAAACACTGACAACTAGAACAAATGCGTTTTTAGACACTTGTGCTAGCCAAACAAACCTGTCTGGGGCATTGTTCTGCAAAACCCTGATTTTAACTAAGCTCCAGCGAGGCCCAGTTAGAGAATCCCCAAACCATAAATAATTCTGACTTGTTTTTTAGCTTCTTGCTTACTAAGTCATTTAAAATGGAATGTTGGAGATTTTGCTAAAATAAATCAAACATCCAAAAATATGTAATTTGGGGAACTAAATTTAAGAGTCTTAAACAAAGGGCTTGGGGCTGGGGAAAGTGTAGGATTTGGGATTTTAAGGACTCAGGTACTTGTGAGTTGGGCAGACCAGAGTTGTCTGGCCTGTGTTTAGAGCAGGGGAGGGGCTTACCTCACAGGACTGGATGCAGTGGACCAGGCGGGGTTCGGGGTGCCATTGACGCCGCCCAGTGCACACGATGCTCTAAAGGGAAGATGGAAAGAGCAGAAAACAAAAACAAAGTCAAGTTGTCAGTGAGAAAAGGGGGCGTTCTAAGCTTTCCCCACCAGCTCCACCCTGTTCCTCAAATGGTAAGAGTCAACTTTGCCCTGAAGAGGGTTGCCCAGTCTTTCCTGTGGTATTGCTAATCCTGTTGGGTGGTGCCAACATAGAGCACTCTTATCAGTGGGGATCTTTTATCCTTATCACCCTTTCCCCTCCCTAAGTTACCAAAATTTCCAGAGTAGCGTTGATGTGGTTAAGAAAACATCCTCAGTCTTATAATGAGACTAATTTGATATCAGGCTTAACATCGGCTCCTTTTGTTTGAAAACTTTTCATCATATTACATGAAATCTGTGAGATGGCTGGGTTGATGGGGAAGTGTCTTCAATTTAAAATAGGAATGAATTTCAGGAATCCTAATCACAGGATGTAAGCAGCAGGCAGGGATTAGAGGCTAATTTGCACTCTCTGCAACTCTTGTTAGCACCATTTATGCCCTCCCTGTAGGAGGTAGAAGAGTTTCTGGACAAATTGGCTAATGTAAAACCACTGAGACTCAAAAATGACACCAACATTAAGCTGATGAGAGTGAAAACGAGCTCATGTTAAAAACACTGCTGATCGTCTTATTCCCAACAGCCATTTCCAGATGCACATTTAATAATAATGATTCATCTTTACTGAGTTTTTCCTTTTAATTTTTGTATTTTGAAATTTCAAAAGATGTACTTCAGGGGAAGAGAAAGTACAATAGGAGGTTTCAAAGAGGAAAGGAGCTTCCCTCCATAGCCTCTAACAACCCACCTGGTTGCAGACTTTCACACTCACATTTTGATTCAGTACAATAGGAACTGAGGGCAATTGAAAAACATTATAGAATGAATTATGAGTTTTATAAAAGATTGTACCTATACTAACTGGAAATGATGTTTCAGAATGCTGACTGTGCAATAATCAGATTGGAGATATTTGCATATATTACATAAGGTATATGGATATACAGCTCTGTAGGGGCAGGAAGGCACAGAGCAGGTTTTCTATGATCCAAGTAGACAGGTAAACGGGGTAAAGGAGGAGTCCTGGAGCCCTCGGTGGCTTTTTCAGGCTTTTATTGAGTTTACCAGGTTCAAGGCAGGTCGGGGTGCCAGGGGTGGGGGTTGGGGGACAGGGGGGAGACCTGCCAGCCCCCAGCGAATCTGACTCTCTCGTGATCTCTGCTTCTCTTTCACTCTGCTAGTGTCCTCATGACACCACCCTTATGAGCACAGTCTCTCAGCCCAGGTGTATCCACTTATGCAGGCCCACACCCTACTCCAGGTGCCCGCCATCAGGCATGCACTCAGGACCACAGTGATCCATCATCAATCCTAATGGAGGGAAGGCAGAAAAGCCTGATACTTTACTTACCTTACAACCTCATAGTAAGTTATGAGAATGGGAATTTGCAATATTTTCTCTACATTACACTACTAAAAACTAAAACCCCTTTAGAGCTCCTTAAAGGGGCAATACATATTATAAATCTAAACAAATTTGTCACTCCAAACTCCATATTGTAATAATGTAAACGATGACTTGGCTTAAGTTAGCATCACACTTAAAACATAAGATCAAATATATACAGGATCGTACAAATATAGACAGTTAACAAAACAGGGGCATTCAGTTTACTGAAATAGTAGTTATTCTTTAGCTTTTAAGTTAAATATACTTAAGCAGAACTGTTGCAGAAATCTACCTTTTACTCAGGCAGAGGAAGAACAAGCGGTATTTTAGGAATGGTGAGGTCAGGAGAAGCTTTACTACTCATGCATGAGGTCCCAGACCTGGGTAGCCCTGTCAGGTCCGAGCACCTGTTTACAGACAAATAATTTTTTATATATAACTACCCTTACATTGATAACATCATCTGCTGCAAAATTCCTAAACAAGGGGCTGGGAAAAAGCAAAAAGGCGCAGACATCAGGGGATGACCTTGACGAGATAGACCATCTTGACCAGCTGCCTGACCTTGTGACTTTGTTAGCCTTCTGAGGAAAGATTTGTTAAGTGAGCAAACTTGTTAATTACAATTGCATTGGATTATTAACTGCACCAGGCCTATGACCCTTTAGCAGGGAGCTGGAAAGATTTATTTGCTTAGCGGTTCCCCTTCCTATGACCACCTGCCTATGAGCAATGACTGCTAACTAGACCTGACTCTTGTTTACGGTTTCAAGCAGCTTCCATTGGAATTCTATTTAGCAATGGCTATGACTTTTATTTATTTTTTTTTTTTTGCATAGTATTTTATTTTATTTTATTTTTTTTTAAATATTAAATTTTATTTTTATATTCCCCCATACAATTGCAAACGCCGCATTCTGACCCCAATCCTTCCCCTCCCGCCCCCCACCCCCCGCTATGACTTTTATTATTTAAAATATCAACGTGTCATACTTTGCTGATTTCACCAGGTAATAGTCATGGCCGAATACAATAACTTCTAATCCTTTGTAGGGTAGGTAAAGTATCAGGCTTTTCTGCCCTCCCACCATTGGGCTTAAAGGTGGATCCTTGCAGTCCTGAATGCGTGCCTGATGGCGGACACCTGGAGTAAGGTGTGGGCATATGTAGATGGGATTCACCTGGGCTAAGACTGGGCTTTTAAGGGCAGCGTCACAGGGATACCAGCAGAAGTCAAAAACAGCAGAAGCAGGAGAAGCTGAAGGAAGCAGAATGAATGGAGAAGCAGGAGAGCAGAGAAGCAGAGAGAACGTGAGAGAACACAGGAAAGCCCAGAAAGAGTGAAGACTTGCTGGAGACTGGGAGGCTTGCCAGCCTCCCGGCCCCCTAGCACCTCTACCTGCCATGTACTCGGTAAATCCCAATAAAAGCCTGCAGAAGCCACCGAGGACTCTCTAGGACTCCTTCTTTACCCGGTCTGCTGGATCAGAAAACCCGCACTGTGTCCATTTCCTGCCCTTACAAATGGCGTAAGTTGGCAAGATGATCCATGCAGACGGGTATGGAGCCCTCCGAAGACCTCAGAAGTAGCAGACTGAATCTGTGACAGCGCTGGAGGCACCATGGTGGCACGGAAGGTGGACAAGGTCCAGGGTCTAGGGGATGAGACCTCGCCTGGAGGAGATTCCCGAGAGGACCAGCCCAAGACCGCCCAGGCAGCACAATCGTTGGGGAAAGAAAGAGGACCGCTATTTGGAGCCCACCAGTGCTGACACAAGTAAAAAACTGATGGATGGACTTGGACTTAGACTGACAACCCCACCAGAAGGCAGATGGACCTTGGCAAGTTTGATATGTTTTTGGGACACTGGGGGAAGATGCTATTGCTTGTATACCCCCAGAGATGGGAATCTGGGTGTGGCCAATGGGCCTCAGTGGCCAAAAGCAGCTTGTGTAACTGCCCAGCAGCTAGGCAGAGGAGAAAAGCCAACTGAGAAGGCAAAAGCTGGTGCTAAGTTTGGGAAGCCCTCAGTGGCTGTTACGCAGCTTAAATATGTTGAAGGCCAGTGAGTCTCGTAAAATAACCTGTGGGCAATGCCCTGCTCGTTGTCGAGTGTGGGTGAGGAGCTGAACAACCCGTCCTTGGGGTATGAGTGGGGAACGTGGCTTGGGGTGGAGCTCAATCCAAAGAGGGGACCCAAGAGAGGCTGTATGTGGAGCTTGCATCCATGGATGCCCAACCCGTGTGCTTGTGCAATGGGCTGGCCTGAGTGCAGGGGCCTGCATGTCATATTGGTGGCTGTGAAGTGACCGCAGTCAAGTGTTGGAGTGACCACAGATAGAAAACCCTGAGAATTGGGCGATTACCCTCAAAGAGTAGAGAATCCCCAATCCGGGAGGGAGTGCATCCTGGGGGTAGATGCAGTGTGTGGCTTGTGGCTGAGACCACAGCCAGAGAAGGCCAGGAAGCCTGATGGCTCTTGGTGTGTAATGGTAGATGCCATGAGTGGTTCCCTTCTCTCGCATGAGCAGTGCCTACGGCAGCAGATTTGGTGGATCATCTGCTGGTGCCAATAATTGTTTTTTGCCACTATGTTGGTGCCCTGCCTGGACTAATTTGTGTTCTGATGTGTTTTGTTACATTGCTATATTCAGTTGTATTCTATGTACCTTTATGGGCCATGGCTGCAGTGTTCATATTTGCAAAGAGAAACGTGTTGTAACTTGCAGAGACTATATGGCAGAAAACCCTGAAGGGGTGGACTGTAGGGTAGGTAAAGTATCACGCTTTTCTGCCCTCCCACCATTGGGCTTAATGGTGGATCCTTGCAGCCCTGAATGCATGCCTGATGGCGGACACCTGGAGTAAGGTGTGGGCATGCATAGGTGGGGACACCTGGGCTGAGAGACTGGGTGTATAAGGGTGGCGCGGTGTCAAGGATGGAGGAGTGCAGTGGCGCGTACAGAGTGCGGCGGAGAGTGACAGAGCGCGATGGAGTATGGCGACTACAGAAGAACATGAAGACAACAAGCCTGCTAGAAGCATTAATGAACCCACCCGGTATGGGTTGGTTGCATTACATCCTTCCCTCCTCATAGCACTGCATCCACCTAGGGATCCCAAGTCCTGCCCTAATCAGTCATTCAAGTCAGACCAAATGTATCTATACCTCACTCACTAGGAGCCAGATTCTCGGGTGGGTCATAGGGATCTGAAGAGTCACAAATCTCAAGAGCCCTCAAAGAGCTCAAAGTCCCCTGGGAGAAGCAGTGAAAGAAGGTCAACCTCACACCTTTGTCTTTAACACCCTCATATGATAACTAATCACAACTTGCCAAAACACTCAACTGGCTATATCAGCACCTCTCACGTTTGCTAAACCTTCTACACTACTGTAGGGTAAATGCTTGTCAGGTTTTTCTGCCCTCCCACCATTAGGATTGATGATGGATCCCTGCAGGACTGCATGCAAGCCTGATGGGGGACACCTGTAGTAGGGTGTGGGCACACGTAGGGTGTCTCAGCACACCTG